ATATTATCAGGAGGGACCAGTCCCTGGAGCAGGATATCATCCTTGGTCAAGCGGAGGGTCAGAGAGAAAGAGGGAGACCCCCAGTGAGACGGACTGACAGAGTGGCAGCGACAATGGGCTGAGGTACAGAAGCAATTGTGAGGATGGCGCAAGGACCAGCCTGTGTTTTGTTCTGTGGTACACACAGTCCTTATGGGTCGGCACCTACTTAACAGCACCTAACAATAACAGTTTATAACATAAATTGTCACGATTTCTAGCTTGGATGAGGAAATGTTTATTGAAGGGGTCTGTTAAAAATGTGTTGAGCAGCACTGGTGGCAAAGGGGTTAAAATGCTAAGAAGTGAATGGTGGGTGGTTTGAACCTGCCAGCTACTCCTCAGAAGAAAGATGTGAGGGTTATAAAGAGTTAGAGCCTTGTTAACTCTAGGGGGCAGTTCTACTGTGGATTTAATTGGGTTTTGTGTTAAGAATGTTTATTCAGCTTGCAGTTTACTCTAAAAACAACGCCTTGTTGTCAGAGCCTAAGGAATAGGATTAGAAGTGATAAGGTTCCTACTGCTAACTCATAACTTGTAACCAGGGTAAAGCAAACACTAGTTAACCAAGCCTGACTCCCACAAATTAGACTTCATTCACCAAATCTTTCTTCATTCTTCTTGGCTCTGTAAATCCTTAAGACTAAGAAAAAATGCCTGCTGCAGCAGGGACAAACACTGACTTAATTGTCACTGATTGAATGTCTGTTAAACAAACCTCAAGATGTACCAAACCTCCCTCCTCCCCTTCCCCCAAACCCCAGTTCACAGCACACTCTGTAACCTTCTGCCCAATTATTCATATGTCTCCCAATTTCAGGAAATGTTTTGTTTTTATTTACTTCAATAAAACCCTTTTCATTTCTAGTGGAATATAAGTCTGGTGTGTTTTCTCTAAAACATTTTAAATAAGTCAAACAGAAAAACATCCTAAGGCAGAAATGCTTATTTTCCTAGAGGAATACACTCAGTGATATGTTGTCGCAAAAATTGTTTAAAGGTTTTCTTTTAATGGCTGCATATTTATACTTGACAGAAATGTCAGAGGTTATAGAAAAAAAAAAGGAAAGGCCTCTTTACTTGCGAAACAGTTCGATGTGAACCACAGCCGGGGCGATCTTCTCCACCACGTCAGCAATGAAGTTATACTTGTGGCGCAGACTGTTGGGATCTTCCTGACCTGGGAGCAAAAGCAAAGAGAAAACACTTAATTATGACCAGTGGGCTTGGAGCTGTGGCTGCTAAGAGTAAGAGATGGGTTGTTGCTCAGTATGAAGTGTCAAGTTGTCCAACTCATAATGAGCCTATATAGAGAGTTTCCCAGGAACAGCTGGTGGGTTTGAACTGCTGACCTTGTGGTCCGCAGCTCACTGCTGATCCTACAGTGCCACTCCAGAGTCCAGATATGGGTTGTTTCTGTGGTTGCTATAAGTGCTGTTGAGAGATTCCAACCCACAGCAACACTTTAGAGGATTTCCCAGGAGCAGCTGGTGAGTTTGAACCACCAACCTTGCAGTTCAAACAACTTTGCAGTCTGACACATTAGCCCACAGCGCCACACCAGGACTCCAGGACTCCCCCCTCCCAGATATGGGTTGTTGTCATTCTTAAGTGCCATCGAGTCAGTTCCAACCCATAGCGACCTTGTGTACGGTTTCCAAGGAGTGGCTGTTGATGAGCTGAAACCACTGACCTTGCGGTTCAAAATGGCTTTGCAGTCTGGCACATTAACACACAGCGCCACACCAGGACTCCAGATATGGGTTGTTGTTGTTGTTAAATACCGTGGAGTAGGTTTCGACTTATAGTGACCCTGTACAGGGTTTCCAAGGCTGTAAATCTTTACAGGAGCAGAACGCCTCATCTTTCTCCCACGGAACCGCTGGTAAAACTGCCGACCTTGAGGTTAGCAGCCCAATTCGAAACCAGAGCTCCTTAGATATGAGTTAGAGGGAGCCAAAAAGACTTGCTTCTGAGTGTCTGGATCATGCACAACTATGGATGTGGTGGAGAGGACAGGGAGCTAAAGGATGACAACTTCCTAGATGTTATCAAACGTCTAAAGGCAATGAGTTGGTGGGCCTGGGGGCTGAGGACCATAGTCTCAGGGGACACCATGGACAATTAGCATGACACAGTCAACAAGACAATGTTCTACATCCTGCTTGGATGAGTAGCATCTGGGATCGTGAAAGCTCATGAGTGGCCGTCTAAGGTGCAGCTATTGGTTTCGCCATGTGTGGAAGGAAGAGGAGTGATAACCATAGAAGAGATTTGGAATCAATTAGTCCAAATAAGTTAGAACCACAGAACTTCCAGTTTGCAGCTGAGTGTTTTATCCACTGTGCTAAGATGCCTCTTCAGAAGCAAATCTTAGCCATAAACAGCCTAACTCAAACTGCGAAAGGCTGCCAAAAACTGTTGTTGTTGTTGTTGTTGTTGTTGTTAAGTGCCATCAAGTCATTTCCGACTCATAGCAACCCTGTATAGGGTTTCCACGGAGCAGCTGCTAAGTTTGAACTGCCAACATTGTGGTTCTAGCTGACCTTATGGTTGAGTGCTCATCCTCCTAATTAAACTTGGGAGTCCTGGTGTGGTACTGTAGGATAAAGAACTAGACAACAAGGTCAATTCGAACTACAAGGTCGGCAGTTCAAACCCACCAGTCACTCCTCAAAAACCACTATGAGTCGGAACCGACTCCACGGCACTTAACAACAACAATAATTTAAATCTTAAGGAGACTTGGTAGCATAGTAGGCTACAACATGTTGGACTGCTAACTCCAAAGTTAGCAGTTCGAATCTACCAGTCATTCCACAGGAGAAAGATGAGACTTTCTGCTCCCATAAAGATTTACAGCCTCGGAAACCTAAGCAGGATCACTATCAGTCAGAACCGACTCAACGGCACACAACCACTACCACCAATTGTGCTGCAGGAGAAGTTGCTAACTGCAAATTCGGCAGTTCAAACCCCCAAGATACTCCTCAGAAATCTTATACAGGGTCTATGTGAGTTGGAACCAACTAGACAGCACTGACCATCAATAACAATTTAAAGCTTTTGATGAGCGAAGTGTCAGCTTGAGGTCTAAGGTGCGCCTGACACAAGCCATGGTATTTTCAATAACCTCATATGCATGTGAAAACTGGACAGCGAATAAGGAAGACCACAGAAGAATTGATGCTTTTGAGTTATGGTGTTGGAGGAGAATATTGAAAGTGCCATGGGCTGCCAAAAGAACCAACAGATCCGTTTTGGAAGAAGGGCAGCCAGAGTGCTCCTTGGAGGCCAGGATGGCCAAACTTCGTCTCTCATACTTCGGACATATTGTCAGGAGGGACCAATCTCTGGAGAAGGATATCATGTTTGGTAAGGTCGTGGGTCAGAGAAAAAGAGGAAGACCCCCAACAAAATGGATTGGCCAGGTGGCAGCATCAATGGACTCAAGCATAGCAATAATTGTGAGGTTGGCCCAGAACTGGGCAGTGTTTCCTTCTGTTGTGCATAGGATCCCTATGAGTTGGTACCAACTCGATAGCACCTAACAACAACAAAGTGACACTGTCGGATAAGCATTGGACTGCTAACCGCAAGGTCAGCAGTTCAAACACACTAGAGTCGCTCCTCAAAAACCCTACATCGGGTCTCTATGAGTCAAAACCAACTCAACAACACTTAACAACAATTGAAATCTTATAAAGTCTTCTTGCTGGAAGGCCAAAGTATTAGCAGCCAGGCCAAAAGTAACCTATCAGTGGATCACAGCCAAGAGGGAAGGCAGGGCTCATCAACTCTGTGAAGATCAGCCAATGGTTGATCTACTATATTTCTCTCTCCTCTTTACCAACTTCACTGCATCTAGCTTCTTCGAGCCATTTGCTTTTTCTAGAATCAAAATCGCCTCCTCCTGTGTACATATAGAATCACTGCTCAGAATAAAGTTTATGTTCAAACTTCAGTGAGCGCTGAATATTTTTAACAACATTCATGGACCCCTGCATGGTAAGTATTTTTATTGTTGTTGTTAAGTGCTGTTGAGTAGGTTCAGGCTCATAGCAGTTTCTGAGGAGTGACTGGTGGGTGTGAACTGCCGCCCTTGTAGTTCAAATTGACTCTGTTGCCTAGTTCTTTATCCTACAGTGCCACGTCAGGACTCCCAAGATTTAATTAGAAGGATGAGCACTCGACGATAAGATTGGCTTGAACCGCAAGGTTGGTGATTCAAACTTAGCAACTGCTCCTCCTGCATAGGGTTTTCAGTATACTCAAAGCTATTTCAGACAAAGTTGTCCCTGATGTAGGGTCCTCCCCCAGCACTCCAGTGCACACACTCCAGCATCCGATTCAGAACCAAGCTACAAGTCTCACAGGTTCCCCCTGAGACAACACACCCTTCCCTCTGACTCTACGTATCTCCGAGCTGACCCAGCCCAAAGTGTGGTCCACCACTGAGCACAGATGCTCAGCGTCCAGAGAGATGGGATCTGCATTACAGACTAAATTCTAAAGCACTTGGTTTAAGAGACTGTGGTCTACAGTGGGAGCCCTAACTCCGTTCTAAGTCATGACATACTGTGAGTTCAGACACACTTTGAGTTCTTTAGGTATTGTTGTTGTTGTTATGTGCCATGGAGTAGGTTCCAACTCATAGCGACCCTGAACAGGGTTTCCGAGGCTGTTAACCTTTACGGGAGCAGAATGCCTCATCTTTCTCCCACGGAGCAGTTGGTAGTTTCGAACTGCTGACCTTGCGGTTCACAGCCCGATTCGTAACCACTGTGCTACCAGAGCTCTTTAGGTATTGATAGGGGCCATCAAGTGGGTCCCAACTCACAGTGGTGTTATGCACAACAGAACGAAACATTGCCTAGTCCTGTGCCATCTTCACGAGTGTGGTTTATAAGTTCATCATTGCTGCCATTATCAGTCCATCAAGTTGAGGGTCTTCCTCTTTTCCATTGACCCTCCACTTTACCAAGAATGATTTCCTTCTTCAGGGACTGGTCCTTCCTGACAATACGTCCAAAGTCTGAGAGACAAAAATCTCACCATCCTCACTTCTAAGGAGCATCCAGACTGTACTTCTCCAGATAGTCCATGGTATTTTCCCCAGGGCATGCTGACCATTGAACCAGCATGTGGCTACGCTTAGACAAGCCTGGGGCAAGCCCAGGGCGGGGTGGTTTGCCCTTAGGCTTACATAAAGAACTAGGGAATGTGCCTGGGTGTGTCCTTACGGATTGCCCCAAAATAACCGCATGTTACCTTGTTTAAGTTAAAAGTTGGGGTGCTGGTGACTGACTTTGACTCAGGGCTGCTTGATCATGGGTCATACCCCACACCAGCAGCTGTGAGGGATGGATTCCAGCTTCTGTAGTCCTGCCTTCGGCAGTGATGGATTGGCCAGCCACCAATCACGACCTGGGATGATTCCTTTTGTTCTGTGTCATGTGAATGACCTTGTGTTTGTGAGTCAGTGGGCACCACCGGCCTCTGTGCTGTGTGCCTGCTGACAGTTTACCTCATTCTGATGAGTGAACGAATTTGTTCTGTCTTTGTCCTGTGTCAGACCTAGTAAAGGGTCTCTATAGACCATGTTTGAACCTGGGGTCTTTTTCCCACTAACACAGATTTAATCCCAGAAATTGAAAGAACACGTTCAGAAACCTCTATAGCAATTTGACACAGGCATCTTGCGTCTGTCGAATCTACAAATTCAAAACTGGGACTTGTATTTTTCATCATTTTAATTTCATTCTTGTAGTAAGTCATCTGTATCAGTCCTGGTGTGACACTGTAGGATAAGCACTGGACCACAAGGTCACTTTGAACTATAAGGTTGGTGGTTCAAATTCACCAGCTGCTCCTCAGAAACCCTACACAGGGTCACCGGTTAGAACCGAAATGACAACACTTAACAGCAAGATAAAAGTATGAGTAGGAAAAAAGGTAAGAAACCCTACTCCTCCCCCATAGATGCCTCTCCCTTCTGACTGCTCACTCCCCATTACAGCCCACTCAGCCAGAACCCACAACAGAAACCTGCAATTTCAAACTGTCCTTCCTTTTCCACTGACCTCCAGTCCCTTCCAAACACACACATGCACACATGTGCATAAACATATGTATGTGTACACACAATGGTACACACATACACACGCATTTTCGAGGGAG